GAGATCGAGCCTGCAACCCAGGCATGTGCGCTTGACCAGAATCAAACCTGGACCCTTTAGTCCACAGGCCGACACTCTACCCACTGAGCCACTCCTCCCACCTTCCCTGATGGGGCTCACTGGGCGGATCTGGTCTCAAACTCCTGCGTCCAGGTAGCTCTCACCTCTGTACAAAATCAATAAAATATATTTAAAAAAATATATTATCAATAAAATACATTAAAATAAACAAATAGAAACAAAAAACAAACCAACGCTTTAAAAAAAAACCCCACCGCAACAAAGAATGACGCCGTTCCACCCGCCCAGCTGGCCCAGCGCCTGGTCTCTGGCCTCCAGATGCCCCCCGTGGTCAGAGGTGAAGTAGGTGAAGGTGGTGTTTTTCAACCCATTGTGGTTGCTTCTCACCTCAAAGGGCTTTTGATCTTAAGTGATCCGCGTCCTGTATGGCAATGTTTTCCATGTCTACGATTTTCTTAAAAATAAATTTTCTTCCAGGGCCTCGAGGATTTTGCCTTCAGGAAACAAGGAACCATGATCAGGACACAGCCAATCAGACAGCATCGATTTGGGGGCGGGTAGGTCTGTGGGGCTGCCTCCTGCACGCCCCACCCTGGGGATCAAGCCCGCAACCCTACATGTGCCCTTGACCGGGAATCGAACCCTGACCACAGAGCCACACCGGCCGGGCTGTCACCATTCCTCAATGCTGAGGCCCAGAGTGGGGAAGGCCGGGTCCGGCCTCCACTCACCTACAAGCCAGTCCATCTCCTCGACGTTGTCGCCGTACAAGCCGTGCCGGCTCCTCCCGAGAAATTCTCTCCCGGTGACCAGGGGAATGTGTACGTGGAGCAAGGAGACAAAGAGTAGGAACGGCCGGTGCTTATTTCTGGAAAAAAAAAGGAAAAAAGAGAAAAGAAAAAAAATAAACCTTCGAATACCACGGCCTCTGTTTCGATGCTAAGGGACCCATGACTTCCAAGGAGAGACTTGAGGGTTGGGAACCACAGGGGTCCCAGATTGGAGAGGGTGCCGGCTGGGCCGAGGGTCACCCCCTCCTCCCCTTGGTGCCTTAATTCCGTGCACCGGGCCTCCAGGAATAATAATAAGAAAGAACCAAGATGCAGGTGGGAATACCTCTCGATGTAGGACACGGCTTCCTCCAGCAGGCGACCGGCGGTTTTTTCCAGAACCATGGGCTGCTCGACGACATCGCCGTTTCTCATCAGCAGGCAGTTCCAGCGCCTCACGAACCCAAAGCTGGCGTACCAGGACCCGAAGAACAGAACCAGGAGGCCGGCCGCCCCCAGGACCGCCCCCCGGGGACATGAGTTCCCTCTCCCTTCCTCTCTGAGATCAATAAAAATTGAAAAAAATCCCCAAAACAGCAACGAAACAATGGATCACTTCTTGGCCTTTTGGCTAAGATCAAGGGTAGGATCTGTTCTTATCGGTTTAATATCTGGCACGTCCTCTATCTGAGCATAATGTGGAAAAATATCCTCTGGTGAGGATTTGACAAAAATAACAAAGTAAAAATCTATACTAATAAAAGGGTAATATGCTAATTGGACCGGGTAGACCGGACGTCTTCCGGCCGTCCTTACGGACAAAGCCACAGTGGCG